GAATTATGGATTATAAATAATTCCAATTATTGCCCAGGAACTTTATCAACCTATTGATTAACCGATTCAGCTGTGTTTTTTCTCGTTTTAATGCCATTGAACACGTCTTTTGATCAGATTGACAGCTACGGTGAGACGATCTCCCTAGAAGCTACGTAAAGGTACGTGTTGTGATGTCTGCCTTTGCTTCCCCTGTCGCAAATTCGGATCACTCAGTGATGACACTTTATACCTAAATAATCTGTGGAACCTCAGCTTTAATCGGAGATCTTGTATGTGCAGCTACGATAAGTAATAAGGGTACTTTTATCTTGAGTTCTGTGCCAATGTCCGTTAGCATTTTTCTCTAAGGGGTCATTTAGATGCTTCTTATGAGACTTGTGTTTTGTTTTGGTAAAAATGGTTTATATCGTCAGTTAGCTGAGATTATTTCCGTTAATCTGGTAGAACACATTAATAGGTTCTTAAATATTAAGATCCCCTGAGACACAGTGTCCTGAAAAAAAAAAAACAGGGTCCCCGGGGCTTAACAGGTTAAAAATACTGTAACAAAATAATGTTGATGAAAGTTGATCAAATTGAATTTGTACTGTATATAAAAAGGAATATTTGTATGTTTTCATATTTTAAATACATTTAAGGTTATTTGGGTTATTTAGATATTGATATTTGTTGTGGGGTGTATAGTGTCTCTCTCTGACGCCCCTGGGGATATTCATTTTATGAGGGGGAAAGACTAGTTATTCTACACATAGTTTTTATGTAATTATCATTTAAAGACTTAAGACTTTTTCGAGATAATCTGATTTAATCACTTTGACATCATCTGGGTTGTTCCTTATTCTTTAGAAAGATCCCAAAGGAGTCACAAACCACATCATCATTTTTATTTACTGGTTGGTAGGGCTTCTCATGACAAGTAAACTGAACTTCCTGTTACAAGTCAGTGCAGTGCCAGGAAATGTAACCACTTGTAATTCTCTAAATCTCTTGTACAACAGTTCTTCTGGGGCTGTAAACCACCCAACATCCTCCTCAGGGGCAGAGATCCTCAAAATACCCCTGAATATTGTTCCTAAAGCCTCAGGGTCTACTGCTTTCCTGATATGATTGAAGCGATAGAGTGGTGCAGTGATGACATATTTTTTGTAGGCCGCAAGGGCTCCATCGACTTAAAGCAATGAGATTTTCCAATACATTTCGGCGCAATGCAGAAAATAAGAAGCAATTAAAACTTCGGACATTAACATGTGGTGTAATAACTGACCAGAAGTGGCAACTCATTTCTGGGTTGTAGGACTCATTCCTGCACCACTCTATAGTATTACAAAAATATGTCTATTCATATTTGTGTTGACTTGATTTTCTAACCTGTAGACTATCCTCTCACGGTGCAGGTCCTCAAGGCCACAGCAGATCTCAGCAGCGTAGAAGATGGCTCTCTGTTCGTCGAAGCCCGAGTTGCCCATGTTGTAGATGTGGAACTTTAGGTCGCCGCCATTCATTATGGTCAACACCAGGCACAGCGCATCCTTGGTCTCATACGCATATGCTAGACTAACCTGGAGAGGGAGGCACATTTTGGGGAGGAAGTAGCAACGAAGGAAGGTAAGGGACCAGTCAAAGAGAAAGTGTAGAATAGGGCAGAGAAAAGGGGGGAAGAGGAGGAGAAGACGTGAGAGGCAGTAGCTAGAGGAACAGTTTTACTTCAAATAATCATCCATTATCCCAGGAGGAATGTACACAAAGAACCCTAACCATAGCTCCAAGGAAAACCAGAAGCTTTTTCTCCCTTTCTTACTCGAGTCCTTTCCCTCTTAGCCCATAATTTATCTCTCTTCTCTCCCTTCATTCCCACCAGCCTCCCCTTTTCGCCTCTCCCATCCTCCCCTGTGGGTCAGTGACACCAAGGGTACAGTGTGTGTGCATGCTCTGTTCTGTTCAAGCAGGATGTTGCTGCCATCGGGATGAATCCCATCTGCTCCGGACTACGCAGTCAGAGACGGACGATGAGAGGGGATAGGAAAAAGTTCTCATGGGCCGAATGGACAATATGTTCAAAAATATACAAATTGTACTTAACCAAACACACAAATGTGAACCACAAGCCAAGGCAAACAGTCTAACGCACCCTCCCGAAAGTCATATTTATGCATTAGCAATGGACACATGTATTGAACATGGCTCTCACACCGACATATCCACAAAGCCTACCAATGCTAAAAGAAGCTTCAATTATTTCCAATCTCGCAATGCCTGACATGTATGCTAACGCGATGAAACCACAGGACCGATGAAAACCAAAGGCTTACTGGAAAGGTTTCTCCCAAAAAGAGTTCAATTAAAACATCAGACATTGTTGTGTAGGAACCATTTTACCATATTGGCACCGTTTTCACAACATTTAGCGATGATAGCCGGAGGAATCAGCGTCAGAGCGCTACCTGCCGAAGACTTTAGAACAAGGTCACCCTGCCCTGCATCCACACACACACACACAAACACACACACACACACACAGAATATGTGGATGGGTGTTTAGATAAAACCTACAGAAAGCTAGCAGTATGTATTGTCTAATAGTGTGATGCAATGATCAAAAAAAAGGAAAAGGCGAATAAAGAAAGGGAGAGAAATGATGGGTGTGAGAGGGAGGGAGGGAGAGAAAAAGACAGAAACAGAAAGAGAGAGAGAAATGAGGGGTTTGAGAGAGCACTTAACTCTTCTCCTTGCTACTGCTGTTTGGTCAGTGTTGCTAGGCAACAGAGCTGCTCTCGTAGGTAGAGAGGCACATGAAGAGTCATCAGTTCTGCCTGCAGCACAGAGAACCACACACATACCCAAGCGCGCACACACAGACAATCATGTGCCAATCCCAGATGACAAGAGCTGCAAGTCTGAGGTCCTGTATCAAGCCCACTCCAGCCTCTTCGTGTGTGTGTGTGTGTGTGTGTGTGTGTGTGTGTGTGTGTGTGTGTGTGTGTGTGTGTGTGTGTGTGTGTGTGTGTGTGTGTGTGCCCATACACATGTTTCTACCATGACTCACTTAAAACAAGGACGCGCAACATAGCTCATGCTACATTAGAAACAAGACTATTCCGAAACGTAGTACAACTCAAACACGACTGTTAGCTTCAGATGGAGAGTCAGCTTTCTGTACCACATATCAATATCTCTGAGCTGTACAATTAAAACAGTAGAACAGCATGTTCTACAGTATGTACACATATACAAAGTATACACGCGGACCCACAGACCAGAAATGATCATGCTCATCCCTCTAGCCGCTCCGCACCATGCTCTAAGAATGTTAATCGAGCTGTAATTTTCTGGTCTTCGGAACAATCTGGTTTTTTCTAGAGGAACACAACACCGAGCCAAATCTACGTTTTTTTCCCCTGCCGGAGCACCTTTTCATGCGTACATTAGGACGGAATGGAAAGAGAAGCACACGTTAATAGTTTTCCAGCTCCTGATGTCAACATGGGTAGTCAAGCAGGATTAAAATTCAGGCATTTTCATATACAACGTGTACATCCATGGCAGGATAAAAACAGACAAATATCACAGGCACACACTGCAACACATGCACACAGTGAGAGGAGTGAAGGTGGGCAATGGTTTAGAGTTTTTAAACTTCTTATTTGTATTTTATTTAAGAAATAAGAGCTAATAAAGTCCATATTTCTTGTATCTGGTTTATTTTAAGCACTGTCATCATATAAATCAAATGAGAATAACTTATTACTGCATTTCAATTTTTGTTTTGATTCACTACCACACTGCATTTAAATGTTAATTGAACACTTTAACTACTATGTGTGCTTACACGGTTATTATAACTTATTCTATATATTCTATATTAGTCTATTGATATATATCTTATTACTGCTGTATATGTATATATATTGTATTTATTTTTATATTATTAACCGTTTATTTTTATAGTTAGCTATCAAGTTATTTTTTGTTTATTGATAATATAATATATATATATATATATATATATATATATATATTATTACTGCTGATATGTACATATTTTAAGATATATCTCAATTTATTTATTTATTCTTTTTAGTTTTAATATCAGTACTGTTTGTTATTTTAATTTGTTTCCTTTCTTTGTATGTCATATATTGACAGTGCCGCCATCTCCTTTAGGAGTCCTGAGCTGTTCCTATTATGTATTAGCTCACACGTCATGTAAATGCACTTCAATTGTACATTTCTGCAGTTCAGTTCTCTGCTGCAGAATGGAAGAAAGGAAAAAGCTAGGTGACTCCCTGAAAAAAGCGTTTAGGCTTGGCATTACAGCGACAGCCAAAAACCACCTCTTACTCATGACTATGGCTCGATTTATAACAAATCCCCCATAGGAAAAACAGCCAAGAGCTTTGCCCCCATTAAGAGCTCCAGGCCTGGTGGTACAGAGAGATTTGTCTTCTTTGGATGGCACACCAACTTTGAGCTGGAAACGCTACTACTTTCTTGCCCCCTCGACGATCACAACGCACCTAAGGGTTTTTGTACAAGTTGTTTAGTTTGGTTTATTTCCTGATTATCAGAGCTGCAGTGCTTTGATAGAGTTATTTGGGAATGGTTGTTCCTTCTATTCTTCCTTTATTTTGAAGCTCAGTTAGGGTCCTGACTGAGTTTTTACACATTGTTTTTTTATTCCAAATCATGTTCAATTATTGATTTGGTCTCAAATTACCTTAAGTTGTAAGGGCTTCAGGAAGAACTGTGACTCAGTTTTTGAGGGTCAATGCAGGTAGGATTAATGAGGTAGATATCCATATTGTGTCCCTGGTTTAGAATAGGAGTGACTTCCATAAGTGTTTTCAGGTTATTACTTACTTAAATCAGACCGTTAACTAAAGTATCGTCCCTGACATTACGACACACACCCGTCACAAAAGTACCTACATTTAAAATTATGAATCGGTAAAAGTCAATTCAAATACTGTATTTTAATAATGCACTGGTCATTTGTACATCTGCTCTCATATCCACATATTTATATATTGTAAAGTATACAGTATACTTTCTACCATACATGTCATTTAATCTGACATTCTTTCTTTTTTTACTCCACGGTTTTTTTCTGCAACCTACTTGAACCATTTGTCTACTGCACTATTTTATATATTTTACTTTTATCTTAGGTATAACGCATTTTGCTTTGTTGGAGGAGACAGATTTGTATTGCCATACTATGCTGTAGCTACTGTGCATATGAGTAGTATTTGAATCACCCACCAGTGCATCAAAAACATATTAATCTGTTTTTTTTAAACATGGCAGCAAAACAGATTTCAATTCAAATACAGGATACATTCACAAATGAATTAGGGTTGCCACTATGCTCCAAATGAAATCTAATAAGGCATGTTTGCACAGGTAGAATAAATAAATTGCTATGACTTTTAATGCAAGCTGTTTACCCGGACTTGTCTGCCTTTTATGCAAATTCCTGCTAGCCGTCACTGGCAACTTCTTTGGTTACAATTGTTTTTAGTTTTATCACTTCCCGTTTCTTTCCACCAGGCGTGGACATCTTTAAACAAACAGAGCTGGAGTCCCAGAGACTGCCTTTAACAGCTGATCAACAGCCTTTGTAAACACGCCTTTCAATTTCATTTGCAGGATCCTGGTGCCTTAACAAACAACAATGATCTCACAGACACGTAATCACAAACACACACACTCACAAACACAAACACACAGACACACAGACACACAGAAAGACAGACAGACAGACAGACAGACAGACAGACAGACAGACAGACAGACACACAGAAAGACAGACAGACAGACAGACAGACAAAAACAGGTACAATTCTGTTGAAAGGTTGAATAAGAAAAAGGTAGTACTTACTACAAAACTACTGTTAACTTTTTCTAAAATGCGTTTTTCGTTTAGTGCCATTGCTTCACCTTTTCTTTTCTTCACTCGTTTCTTTTCCAGCTTTTTACATGCGTACATCTTACCGGTGGCACGTACTTGGCAGGCACAAACCTGAAAAACAGGCAGCGAGGAAACTCCATCACACACAAATTATTTTTATAAAAAAAACGGGGGAAAATAGAATGGAAGTTAATATGTCAGACTACATATTTATCCACCCAGCATCACAGGAGTGGAGACATTAACAGTGCTGCATTAACTAACTGCTAATGTTCCTTGTAGTAACTTAAATCATTAAAGGGGCCCTATTGTGCTTTTTTTCCCTGTAGTGCGTTATGTAGGTTTTTGTGCATGTAAATGGTCTGCAAAGGCTAAAATCTAAAAGGTTCCCTCCAGAGTTTCTCTCCCACACACTCCTCCCCCCCCCTGCCTGAAACGCCTCCATTGGACTCCTTAGTTTATTTCTGTAACAAAGTGACATCACTATGTAACACTCAAGCTTGTATTAGCTAGTGATCCGACACATTGTTGGTGATTGGCTAAGGAGCGTGACATCTCTAAGCAACTGACCCATCACAACAGAGCTGGCCAGCTAACCAATCAGAGCAGACTGGGCTCTGGTTTCAGAAAGAGGTTGAAAAGAGGTGCTGCAGCACAGGCAGTATGAGAAAGACCTAAAGCATGTAGACATGTCACAATAGAGACACAAAATACAAAGTTATCACTTGTGAATTCATTGACACTCACCTCGCCAAATCCACCTTTTCCTAGTACTCTGTAATGTCTGAAGGTATTTTTGGTTACTGGTTGCCTGCAGGGATGGAAAGAAAAAGAAAAGGAGACGAAAAGAGACGTAAAATAACAGGTTACGTCATTCTCTCAGACCATGTGATGTCGCAGACAGAGTAATGCTCGAATACATTATTAATCCACCCTGATGGCTGTGGGTCCCACCCTGCTACAGTTACCCAGCCATTATGTAAAGCATCATCAATTATTTACCCCTCGCACAGAAAAAACAGTGATTGGCTAAACCACCTTTGTGTTTTAGTGTGAGCATCTTTCCTGCAACTACTCTCTATAAACTACAGACTGTAATCTTAGTTTGCTATTATCTTTTATTACATTCAATAATCATTTACTTGATTGTCTGTACTTTTCCATCTCATGATCCCTTCAAATTAAAACTTTGAATGTGTTCTCTGGTTTGCAAACACAGAACTGGACAGCACCCTTTTACAGAGAATTTCTGTATGTGTGTAAGATCACAGGCGTAATTTAATACAGAAATGGTTTGCATGTGTGCTTTACAGGGCGTGTAATCTGCAGTGACTACCCACCTCTCCAACCATTTCCACTGCAGGAAGCGAGAGAAGTACATTGACTCGTGGTAGGAGGAAAACGGAGCTCCACTCAGATAATCACGAACTACTCTGTAGGGGAGGGGGAGAGAAAATCATTTAATAACAAGGAAAAATATAGATGTACATGTCATCAGAAAAAAATGAAAAAACGCAAGCACATGTACAATTTCTATCCAGATGAACAGACATGAACAGACACCTGCGTTCCTTTACCATGACTACAAACACACGCATAATCTACCCTCTGAATCTTAAATGTGCTTGTGTATGTCGGTTGGTTTTTGTGTGTTCAGACATCACTGGCAGTGATAAGGGTCAAAGCCATTGTCAGTGGAAAGAGGTCAGAAATATAAAATGTGTTTGAACAGGGACATTCCACTGATCCATACCGGGAAAAGGGATTTATAGGAAACTGGTTTTCAAAGAGCAAAAAGGTTGAGCTGGGCGTTTAAGCAATTATTTCGCTGTGGCAAAACGGTGGTACTACAGCTTTTTGTTAAGTCACGTAATTGGGCCCAAATAAGTTAAGGTTGTTTTTTTTGTAAATGAACTTGACAGGATAAACACTTGAATAGCCCTTGTTTAAATTATTCCTACAGGCCCTACAAGTTGTAAATCTATTCAGTTGACCGCAAAAACACATGCTCTTTGTGTCCAATGGATGCTGTGGACCACCGGAAGGTCCAGAGAAGATCAAGAGAATATCCATGAAAGATCCAGAGATGGGCCAGAGAATATCCAGGGAAGGTCCAGAAAAGATTGAGAGAAGATCAACAGAAGTTCCAGGGAACATATGGGTGTTTTTGTTCTTGAGAGTCAGGCCATTTTGGCCTCATGCTCCACAGAGCGACTTTCACAGGAAGAAACATGGCCTGGGGCCTCATGTATAACGCCGTGCGTAGGATTCATGTGGGAAGGTTGCTTACGTAGTAGAAATCCGAAAAATAGGTCCATACATTTTCCGCCATTTTCCGATTCACCGAACATTGCGTACCGGCGAGGAAAGTGCGTACGGCACTTCCTACGCCGGTTTCCCTTTATAAATCACAACCGACTCGAAATGCGGTGCAGCTTTTGCACGCTTCACGTAACGCCCATATTTGCCTATAAATAGTCAAAGAAACGTCCATTCATTCATTCATTTTGACTGACTGCATGAAGAAGATCGCAGGAAATGATGACTGAACAGCTAAAAAAGACATTTCACACTGTGTCAGATTTTGGTTATTTTGGGGAGGTCGAGATAAATCATATTGTGTGGTGGATGAAGTTTGAACAGAGTAGCAGCATGGCCAACCCAGGGCTCACCAAAATAAATAAATAAGTGGTCCGAAAAAGTCTAATGACAAAATAAATCCATGCTCGTATCTACAGAAATGCAAAATGGCGTCAGTTTAGACGTAATTCTGTCCTCCTGCTTACCGCATAATTTATGAGAAAACATTTCATAACATTAACACAACATATTCGAGGTGGTTTTAAATAACATATCCGTATTTATTTATTTCTCCAAGTTATGTTTTTGTGTGCACTGAGGAGTCTCAAACAGGCGTTTGTTAAATCATTTTAAGATTGGCTTTAATCAATGTTTGAAAATGAATTCTTCATATATGATAAATGAGAGGTAACATTTTATTTATGGTATTATTCCCACATATTTCTCTCCATTCTTCCTTCTGCCAACGGTGTCGCAGTTTCTCGTCTCTCCCGTTTTTGTGCTTAGTGCGTACGCATGGGTTAGAGTTTGCGTGGAGGATCGCACGTTTTCCCGTCAAGTTAGTATTTTATAAATCACAAACATTGCGTAGAAACTGGCGTACGCCATTTTTTGAGCGTATATCCCTTTATAAATGAGGCCCCTGGCCTCCAACGCTGTATCCGTTTCAGCGCCACTTACAGGCCCGGCATATGTACTACAGCGTCTCCAGCGCTCCCGAGCGGTCTCGTGTGAACGGAATACTTTTTTGATATCGTATTCGGTTCGTTTGCATTTCGTATGCGTTTGCGTGTAAATGGGGTCTTAGTGTCCCTTTTTTCTCTGCTTTGACTACACTTAAAACTGTTTGACTTAAAACACCATGTCCTATTTTACACAGCTGTACAAAACAGAGATGAACTGTATGAAAGAGCTTCACAGTAACTTAAATGGTTTCTGTCCACGCTGTTGATAGATAACTTTCTTCTCAGTCAAAACGTTTTCAAGGTCAAATGAATGACTTTTATCAAATCACTGTGTACAAGAAAATCCAATTAGATTCCCAGATATATCTTTTTTTCATAAACCATAACTTGCTAAATGCAAAACTACTTCAACATATTTCAACATGGTTAAACTGTTGCTTCAAAAATAACATAAATGTTTTCGTCATTTCAAAATCTTGGTTTGCTAAACAGTAAATCAAGAAACAGTAAATATGATATGTAAAAATGAAGATAAATAACTGTGAAAACAATGAACATATCAAAATGTGTTGTAAGAAACCATTTTTATAAATATAATTTACAAAACGGTAAAAAAGGAAAGGCAAAAGTCATACATTCACATGTTTTTTTGTTTTTTTATTGAACAGTTTTGTCCTAATGAATCTTAATCTTGATCATTTATTTCTGTCTATACTGTATATGGGTGACAATTTCATATAATGGTACTGGATTAAAGAAAATCTAATTGATGCATCCCTTTTAAAAAGAGCTGTTAAGGAATCTTAACGAACTGTCCAGTTGTAATTTCAGAATAAAAGCAGACTAATTTGATTTTTTTTTAAAACACCTAGTTAAAAGGCAATCCAAAGTATCTGGAATTATAATTTCCACCTGAAATGAATATTATTATTAGTTTGAGAAAAATAAGTAATCTTTATTGTTGATATAATCATGGATTGGTAAACGTATCTTTTATTGTTTATATGTATGAATCATATATTAATCTGTCATTACTTAAGTATGTTTGTTAAGCTTATATGGGACAACATGTTTTTCATTCGTTCCCTTAAGAGACAGTTACTGTAGTGTGCAAAAAAACAACTTTGAAAGTTACAGCAGATATTTGGCCTTGGCCTCACAAAAGTTGAAGAGATGCTCATATTTTGCGGTACAGAGATTTTCCTTGACCGTATTTTGAAATGACTTCATCACTATGGAGGAAGAGGAAAGCTGCCTGTGGTTAACAACAGCGCTGGTGGGGTGGCTGTTCTTGGCAAAAAGAAATGCTGGAGAGTGGAGAGTTTCCACAAGGGGAGCACACTGTGCCGTGTAAACGCAAACTGAATTATGTCATCATGGGACCCAGTGGCTTTGTACACGAGATTCAATCTATCCGGAGTAGATGTAGAATTTTCGAAGGAGTAGTGTCAGATTGTATCCCCTCTGCTGCTCCTGAGCTCACATGGGTTTGTACTGAAAGCATGAACATCAAAGCTCAGTTAAAATTGATCAAAAAAGAAAGATGTCTGACCTGTACCATAACATGTTTTCAATTCCAAGTCTTAAATCGGTCTAAAATCTCAACCCACGGCCTAAATAACTAAAAGGTCCTCAGCCCTCAGCTTCTCATCAATGTTCACTTATCATGCCGACTCAGTGTTACGAGACAAAAGCGGCCCCGGACACTAAAAGAAAGGAGCTCCAGAAAATCAGGAGACAAGCGGTGCCTGGCTTGGAGTCCAGCCTCAGACAGACACCACTGGGAGTAGAAATAAACACAGCTACAATATGGCTTTTGTTAGTCCAAGGGAGCAGGGAGAGGAAATTTAAAAAGGAGCAAAATCAGGAAATGGACCTTCGGCAAGATCGGACGATTCGCGTAACAGTACGCGTACCCTGGCGTACTGAAGGGCCGCGCTTTACTCTTGGTTATGACATAACCGTATGTTCCACTGCAGCAGAAGAATGTGAGTGAGCTAATACGTTTCTGCTAATGGGTGTGTGGCCAAAAAGTCACATTTCCACGTGCAGCACCATGCTTTCCTTTAGGCAGAGGGGAAAAAAAGCCCCCGGTCAGAATTACATATAGGAACAAGAACATTTTTAGGAAATTAAAATTCCACATCGGAGTACAACTACTAATGATAGTGGAAGAAGTGATGACCAAACTTGAACAGGAATCCCATTCAAAAACATCTTAACTGCTGCTTTCAGTAACACAAACACTCAACTCTCCTCAACGCTTTCTTTCCATTTCTCTGCTCATTTTCCAAATTTCACCTATTTACTCTGCTTTCATTGCTCCCTGTGGGTCTTTCTTATTCGGCCCCTCGTGCTGGGCTTTCTGCCGGGCATATCACTTTTCTCTCTGCTCAGTTTTCAATTCGAAGTTTGAATTGACTTCCGAGAACTGTCTCTTTCTCACGCCATTTCTCTGCCGTCCCCAGTGCCCTGTAGATTACTCAGGTGTTCAAATAGATGCTAAGGGGAAGGGAAAAAGGGGTAAACAGACCATGAGCTAAATTATGGAAAAGAGAGAAGGCAGGTGTGTTGTGTTCATCTGAACCTCAAACTGATGTTCCCAGATTGAGCCACACACAAGCAACATTGGAGAACAAATTAATTTAAAAATAAATTGAAATGCACATATCCTTCACTATCAGCCTGGAAAGCTTGTGAACATAGAGGGTTATTGATTTTAGAAATCCAGCAGCCCTCTTCATGTGTTTTGCCAGAACAGGAGAGCAGGCTGAGATTATGACTGAGTGTTTTCCCAACCGTGTTTCCCACTTCTCCTAAACTCCTTCTAGCAGATTCCAGTATTCCCCGGGGGAGCTCGAGTGAATCGGAGGCTGGACGCAACATTTCCAACCCGAGTCTGTCTGCCTGTGTGGCTCAAAGTTGGGAGGAATGAGGAAACAGAAAACTGTTTTTTCTCAAAGCGTTATATTGATGTGATACATGCATTAATGTTTTTGTACATGGTTTGCTGACTAAAGTAAATATGTTGTATGGCTGAAGACCTCAGTCATTTTCTACCTAGTCAATGCCAGTTTATCTACACAATCCAGCATCATTTTTGCTCTATTTCTTTCTGTGAGAAAATGTATTGCGTTACCAGAATTATGAATCTCTCGACAATCTTCTATATTACTCAGATCAACTTTTATTAAACTTGGAAAGGCAACAACAACTAGAGATGTCCCGATCCGATCACGTGATCGGAGCTGATCACGTGATTTTGAAAAGATCGGAATCGGGAGAAAAAAAATCGGGGATCGGGATTTTAAAAAAAAATTCTTTTTATAAATACTTCTTTTTAAATTTTGTATTCAATGTTACAAAACAAAAATGACCATGTTCAAGTCTTAAAGTCATCCTGAGGCCTTAGTTTTGGTTTCAAATTACAGAACATCATGTATGTGTTGCTTCTTTGGGGCTTGTTTTCATAGACCTGGTTGCTTATTTCTCTCAAATCTAGCAACAGAGTGGGCAGGGCGCAGTGTCTAATTGTAGCAGTAAGCTAATGAGTACTGAAAGCTATATTTTGTTTTGATCCAATGCTGCACAACTGAACTGATCCAATGCTGCTGTGAAAGAAAGAAGCTATATCCATGTTGGATAGAATATCCAATTTAAATAAAAAAATAACCTTAAGGGACAACTTGAATGCTTTTTTTTCTCTTAATGCATTTCATAAAGATCGGATCGGGAAAAATCGGTATCGGCAAATTGTCAAAATCAAATGATCGGAATCGGATCGGGAGCAAAAAAAGGTGATCGGGACATCCCTAACAACAACCAATGACATCCAAGCCGAAGTTCAACAAACCAATAAGCAAACAGAACATTACCAATGTTTACCCTCTTTAATTGCTCATCCTGTAATTAATGAATACAAACACATCAAGCGACAGCTTTATCTCTCCAAAACTGTTAGGGGGTAAGCTACAACAAAAGAAAGCAGAAAAGGCCATATAATTGAACAACGTATTATATTGTAATTACTATATCTATCGTTGCCAGGTTAAATGTGATAACGTATCATGCTATACATGTCACAATACACCATAAAGTTGACGTCAACAGAACCTTTGTGTGACACAGAGTGAAATTGTCGGGCTGAGTCACAGTTACGTTGGGATCTGTGGATGTGTGCGACACTGTGCGATGAGAAGTACATTCTGGGTAATAATCCCGGGTCTGTTTGCTTCGCCTGGCTCTCAGAGCAGGAAGCAGAAACACCTGCAAGAGTGTGTGCGTGTACATGTGTGTGTGTTTGTAAATCTGTGTTTGTGTGTGAAAGTGTGTCTGCGGGGGAACACTGAGGTAGCTGTTGTTTTGGTGCCAGCCGTCCGGATGCTAGCTGTGCCCACTGCTCTTTTTCATTTGCCTCCACTGTGCGTGTGTGTGTGTGTGTGTGCGTGAGTGCGTGTATAATAATGCACTCCAGGTGCCAGCTGATTCATCATCACTAGTGACAGGGTGCACTAGTCACTCCAGACAGTCTACAAACACACATGCACTTTCTGAAGGAACATGACTGTATATAGAGTGGTGCAGGAATGAGTCCTTAAACCTGGAAAGGAATTTGCATTTTAGCCTTTCCTGGACAAAGTCAATTGTTTTATGAATGTGTTTTTGGTTGGATGCATGATTTAAAATCTGCGCATCTATCAAGAGCTTATTTTCTTTAATATTCAAAATTCTAAAGGAAAAATCCCATTGCTTTTTGTCGAGGGTAGGCCTTGTGATGCTAACCTCTGCGTCGGCCAACAAACATACGCTGCACCACTCTTTAGGTGACGCTGTTATCACAAATTAAAATAAATCAAGACTTACTTGGTGCAGTCATTGAAGAGCTCCTTACATGGACTCTGCTCCAGCCTCTCCCGACACCCAGCCACCACTTCCTGGGGAACGTCTGGCAGATGGGCTGCAGACTTTGAGGGATACAAAGAGAGAGACAGGAGGGTGAGGCGTGCAGAAGGACAGGGAGGGACAGACATAAAGCGACATGATGCTGTAATGTGATTGCAGACTGTTCTAGACAACAGATCATTATCAGTCAGTTTGTCTATTTCTGTTTGTGATCCTATAATGCCAGGTCATTTAAGCTGTGGTCACATCTCTTGGGTTTCGTTTGTTGGAATTGATATTCCTGTAAACTCTACCAACATTCAATGCCCTTTAGAAATAAAAAAGCTGGTGTGGTTTTGGTGCGAACAAAACAATTACAAATGTGTGAAAATTAACAATATACCAATATGTATATACATATTTGTTCATCTCATTTATTTTATCGTTTACCTAATAAAAGATGTTAACTTGAAATTTCATATAAATATCTTTATTTTATTGTATTTTTTCATGGCACATGGCTTTAATCTTTTTATATTTTTCTTATTTTGTAATTTATTTAGAACAGGCAGGAGACACAAATATGAGCACAATGTAGGGGTGATCTCACAAAAAGTTCAATACTAGAATAAAATAACAGTAATAACACTCATTTGACTTTACATTAACGTCTTATGTATAGATAAATACAAATCTAGTTTTTTTTATTTTTAAATGTATTTATTTTTAAAATGTTATTTGAAAAAAGAGCAACCTTTACAAAATCAACCCCAATTTCGTCCGGGGTAAATAAAGTATTCTGATTTTTAACCCATTTATTTTGACTTGTGCTACAGGACAGCTTGTTTCCTGCATTCTATTGCTATAAGTGTGCGAAATTAAGTCTAAATAGAGTCCCAACCAATAATGCTAATTAACCATCGAAGCGAACCAAAATAGAGGTGTAAACACAACCTAGAGAGAGGTGTCAGTAGTTCACGAATATCAGTAATACACTTCCTTAAAAAGGGTTATTACACATCTTTGGCATCACACAAGATTAAGGCTGCATCTACACGGAGACGAAACGGAGAAAGAACCAAATTCGATATCAAAAAAGTCTTCCGTCCACACGGTAACGCCTCATGAAACGTGTCCATTCACACGAGACCGCTCGACCGGCTGGAAACGCTGTAGTACATATGCCGGGCCTGTAAGTGGCGCTGTACTTCCGCCACAAAATACACCAAAAGCAGCGAATAAGACCTCCCGAGCATGGTTGCCTAGTTGCCCTTCTGTTCATTCTCCTCAGTGGATTCAACAGTGACGCGGGGATGAGCAGCAGAGGCGGGGAGAGGCAGGGCTCTGGCTGTTTCGGCAGCCTCCGTTTCTCTTTTTCTCCCTCCCCGAGGCGAGTGTGTGCTCCTGCTGTAAAAGACAGGTGCACCGCACCCACTGCCACTAACTCTGAGCCTGGCTCCCGAGCAGGACGTTCTCCCCGGTAGTCCAACAGCAGATGAAAAACACCCACCTCTCCACCTCTTCCAAGGGATGAGGGAACCGTGCAGGGGGGTCTGCTGGAGGCTCCTGCTGGGTGCACTGTCCTGTGACATACCGCGACCTGGCTCGAAACACTCGGAACACTGTTGTTGGCGAAACACATCAGCGGTGACGCGGGGGGTGAGGAGAGGCGGGGCTATGGCGTATAGGGCGTACACACAGAGCCGTTTGCCCCCCAAGAGCGCTCCGTCCGCAGATCTACCCACCTTGGGACCCGTTACCGTTTGAGGGCTCCGTTTCCCTGGTTCCGTTACGGCTTCGTGTGGACGAACCGTCCATACGATAGAGAACTGTAGCAGATACAACCCGTTTCGTGTCCGTGTGGACGGGGCCTGGGTCCAAAGTTGATACAGTCAACTGTATGTCAAACACCATTGGCAAATAGTCATGAATAAAAGTAATGAAGCAATAAAATCATAGGCAAATACAAACTGACATCAGCGAATGAAAACAACTAGAGAGTTTTATATGCGCATTTGTGTTTAAATGTAAGCAAATATTTTATTTTGTCTGTGTCCATGACCTTATTATTCAGCAAGTGTGTGTGTGCTGCATACCCCATTATTAAAGTATGTGTCTAAAAGATTCAGTCCACAGTCCCTCCTCTTCTCGTCCGGAGCGAGCTGGTACATGGCCTGTCGGAGAACAAACAGACATGTGAGCAACCACAACAACCATACACATTCAACCATCTTTAATATGTCTCCAAATAAGGTCAGAGGGAGAGGGATGTGAACCGGGAGGAAGAGAGGAAGGATGAGACGGGGTAGAAGAGATTAAGAGAGAGAAGGGTGGCAGGGTTAATGAGGAACAAGAGCGTGTGGAGCCGAAGACAAACAAAGAGATGCTACAGATGACAAAACATCACACCCTAGTCAGGGGCAAACTGGAAACAGTGTTCATTTTCACACTTGGCCCATCTCATGTGTCACCTTCTAGGGTTAGGGTGTATGGGTTTTTTCCCCGCTAGTCTAGCCTTAAGTTTTGAAAGGTGGAGATATAGGTATGCAGGCCAGATTCGAACACGCGAAAGCACATCAAAGATTGTGAGACAGATTGTGTGGGGTTTTTTTGACCATATTTTTGGCCACCGGTGCTTTTATTGGAGAGACAGATTTGAAAAAGTGGAGACAGTAGGTGACACGCATAAATGGGTCCCGGGTCGGATTTGAACCCTAGTCCTCTTCAACGAGGACAGATCCTAAATATACACTAAGCGACAGATTGTGTTTTTGGTCAAATATGGCTGCAGGCAGGGAGACGGTCTGAAGTAGGACTGCTTTGTGCCGACTGTTTTGTTTGAAAACACGGTAGGCAGAGCGGAATTGGACTGAGCATCGCTGCCACGGCATGACATCCTTGGTGTGAGTTTGTACCTATATGCCTGCCTACCTACCTTGGAAAACACTAATGTAGGTCCTTATTAAATGAGCATATTTTTCCTCTCACGCATACCTCCACGGGCCGAGACACAAGCTTGGGCCTGTGTTTGCCTGCTCACCCAGGGGACCTGCCTCTGACGTGGGCTTGACCTCATGGAGGAGTGCATGGAGGAAGGGGAGGGGTCAGCCCAGGTTGCTAATCACCCCCACAACGCCCATCCCACCCACCCAATCAGTGCTACTGCCAAGAGCAGGCAGAGGACCAACTCCGACTTTCCTTTCCTAGTTGCTGCTCTGATTCAAGGGGGTCTCATTGGTGAAATCACAAAGAAAGAGAATGTGGGAAAGAAGAATAGCTAAACGATCATCAGATAATAATTCATGGTGTAAGGTTTAGTGAAAGTCTTACCACAGCGTCCATGAACTCAATGCAGCGCTTCAGCTCTGGCCTGGTATCACAGTACTGCCGGAATAACAGCCAGCCAATGGGCTGCTTCTCACATAGACTGGTGTAGTCCCTCTCTGAGGGGAGGACAGGGAGACACAGGGGGAGAGAAATGTAATTATAACACTAGAAAGATACACGGAAATATGGTATACAAGCAGGAATGGGAATAGTGTGGAAACTCAGATTAGGAATTTTTTGAAAAAATGTATTATTTTATATACAATACCCCAAAAATGGTCACAGGAAGAGACACAATGAAAGAAACTACATTATACACAAAATAATCTTTATTTTTATTTTCTAAATGTTCCCCTTTTTTTTGAGACAAACAGTTTTAAGCATTCAAATGTACATGTCCTAAAAGTTAGCCGATTTCAGCTAAATTATGGATGAGAGATATTGATTGCTAATGCTTTCTTTACTTAGCAAAACAGAGGGCGCAACTTTTACAGCACAGGACAATCGAACATTTTTGTATATAAAAAACCTCAAAAATACGCTTTCCAGAAAGACAGAAAAAAATCTCAGTAAAAAAACAAAACTATCAAGAAACCTAACATAAGTGGAATGGATGCTAACTAAGACAGGGGTTCAACTTTTAGAACCTTATCCTAAATAATGGCCAAAATTAGCAATTTGTGAACATGTCAAGGATATAACAGTGTTTTTCAGTTAGGGAGGACTTTTGAAAGTATATATTGTATCATGCACGTCGAGTAACTTGATAAAAACACTGACACTGCAGATAGCCTACTCTCCAATGGTGAGAGCGAAAAATAAAATAGAAATCCCCCCAAAATTAAGTTATCCCTTAATAAGTACATTTGATTATGCTAGAACACAACATGTGTTTCTTGTGTGTGTGTGTGTGTGTGTGTGTGTGTGTGTGTGTGTGTGTGTGTGTGTGTGTGTGTGTGTGTGTGTGTGTGTGTGTGTGTGTGTGTGTGTGTGTGTGTGTGTGTGTGTGTGTGTGTGTGTGTGTGTGTGTGTGTGTGTCTCATGTGCAGCTGGCCCCGGCCTATTAGGACTAATGGCGTCCATTCGAGTCATATTTCCTCTGGCACCAAATGAGGAAGAAGACCCAGGACGTTTTCCATCACTGGCTGACAGTGAGGACACACAAACATGCATGGGATGAATATTTCTGAGTGGTGATAGCTCCAGAACAAGCTCCAGCAGTAAATCAAATCTTCACAACAGCCCTCCCAGCAGCACTGTTTATTACCCAGCATTCCCTCTGCAGCTCCTCATTCAAACTCGCCACTTATACGACCGCAAAACAAAGTTATCGCTTTGGTGAACAAACAGTGGAGTGTAGAGATATGATATTTGCATTGCTTCCCGTTCCACTGTGCAACCGCTGTGTTTTTAAAATCTAGAGAACAAAAGCTCTTTCAGAAAAACTCACAGAGATCTCTAACTTGATTGCGTCGCGCTCAGACGTTGCCTTTCATCTCCGATCTGGAAGTTTTTCTTTTTGATGCACGCTTTGGTGTTTCCCTATCAGCTGGAGCTGGGAAATCCCCTCGCACTCATAACATACATTTTAGTGTGAAAAATGCTAGGAGCTGTTTATTTGAACGTGAGGAATACATGAAAATGTGTATCTCTATATCTCCATAAAAACAAATGCATTGACCCCCATTTAATACTGTACAATCATTTGACAGGTTGTCAACACACTGTCAAATAATGATAGAAGCGGTTGTGGCTCAGGGGGGAAATGGGCATCTACCATTCAGAGGGTCAGAGGTTCAATCCCAACCACTGCAGTCAACTTGTCAAAGTGTTTTTAGGCAAGATACTTATCCCTAAACTGCTCCCGTAGGAATATGGTATTGAAGTGTCGCTTTCGATAATAGAGTCTACAAAAATAACATGTAATAAAAAACTGTAATGATAAAGAAGTTTCTAGAGAGTACATGTGGCTTCTGTTTATCAGCTAGTTTATTTGCAAATGGGCAGTGTGAACCTAAACAAACCAAATACAGCAAAGTCAACTCTTCCATTCGGGTTCAGAAGAAACAAACTATTCTGGTTTGTATCGTTGGCCTTTGCTAAGCTAGAGATTATGGTTAATTTATTTTTGCAAGGGAATTTAGTTTACTGCATATAATTATCTCTGGTTTACAATGAGCCTCCTGATAAGGTGTCAGTCATGCTCCAGAACAGGTTTTTGCCGTGAGGATGTCAGGGCGGTTTCAGTTTAATTGCGAGTTTTTCCGGCTGAATCACAGCACAACCGGCCCCCCCTTTTAGGTGACACACTCCAATTTGCGTAATAAAAAAAGGCAGAAACTGTCTATTGTGCATTGTTCTTTAAAGGATGTCCATGTTTTTAAGTAACAGGCTTATTGAGCAACCTATGTGATGCCAAATTAACTTGTGCAAAAGCAGGAAATTGATATAAGTTAATATGATTCAACCTTTTAAACACTAACTCAGTTTCTCTACATTTATTTAGAGGCCTAATTCCTGTTACTTATTAGCAATACTTTCTGAATAATTCCACATGTTTTCATCATACCACATGTGTATATGAATGGATAGAGGAATGTGTCAGTACTCCAGAGATAATTACATTATAAATCATGTTGGTAGGACATTTTGGGCCTTCTAGGGAAAAAAACATACAGATAGTGTAAAGGCTCTTCTATCACACACCACTTCTACTCGACATTTAAAAAGAGGGGAGTAGCCTCAGCTGGACAGCCTAGTGAATATACTGTGTTATTTTCCCGTAATAACTTGTTTACATTTTAACGGTACACAGAACACCGGGACTTGGCAACGATTAATACCCAGGGACACATGAATGATTTTAGTAGCTATGTTTTCATAAATTAATGGTAGACGACAATTTAGCATATACCTGGAAAAGCAACGACTACCACAAAAAAGTAATTCATGTCAACCTACTGTATTAAAAGAAAGGGATAGATGCATTCTGTAAATATTTGTTGCGACGATTGTAGTTTTTGCAGCTTTACAGGTTGGCCATTTGCTATTTCAATGTGCAATTGTGAATTTTGCTACAGAAACAATGCCAAATCACATTATTGTCTTATAAAAACATAGCAAAATGTAGATGCTGGACATAAGAAAACAAAGGCCTGAAAATAATAAACATTTTCTTGGGCCCGGATTTGGGTTTGTGTGTGAAAACATTGGCATTTGTTTCCAAAATGTTCTCTTTGCGTACGAGACCCCTCTTCTTTGTTCTAAACAAAAGACAACTGTGAAAATAAATAGAGAGAGAAAACAAGAAAATACAAGACTACCAGGTTTCAGGAAAAAAAAGGGACCGTAAAATGAAAAGATAGAAAGGAATGCAGGGAGAGGTGTAAAGCTCGAACCAGTAAGGACTTGTAGCTGTCTGAGCCGTGAAGTAAGCTGCAATTACAACTTAATTAAAATTCCAATAGAGTGGTGCAGGAATCCAAAATAAAAGCAATGAGTTGGCATTTCTCCATTTCTGGTTCCGTCTATAAAGCAACGGTTTTCCTAAATGATTCTACTTCATACAATACATCAGTAAACACCGCATTGGTGAATGTAGGACACTTCTATGTGTCATAATAACAGCAGTTGCTAGCTAACAAGTGCCTTAATTAAATTCCGAAACTGCATAATGCCAAATATTAGCCGCATTTAGCTTAGCGGTGGTGACGTGAAGTCATGCACATGTGAATTAGTTTGTTTGTAGCCTAACGTTAGCTTTTTACTTGCGACGATTGCACTCACGCTTCAAAATTCAGTTGGTGTGGAGATTATCCGGCTGAAAAAAAACATGTAAGTATCGCAAACGTGTGTTTGCCACGGATCTTATTTCCTGCAATATTCCAAAAAACAATTAAAAAGTCCCATTGGCTTTTGGTAGTGGGAGCCCTTGAATTTCTAAATTACATGTCAGCATGCAAAAATATGTCATCACTGCACCACTTTTTTTGGGGCCAAGAGCGAGTGACTTTTTTCCCGAACGGCCAGCCAAAGGTGCACAAGTGTAGGAATGTGCGATGGCTTTAGAGATCAATAGTAGTAGGTGCAGGTTTACTGTATGCACTGGATGGATACCATAAGAGAGACATGGAGATGGAACAAGAGGAAGAGACAAGAAAAAATTGGCTGCAGCCCACATAATGTAAACTAGGCTTCCTAGAAGTACTGCACACTCGTCAAGGCTACGGTCAAATGGCTGAAATTTTTAAGACAAAACAAAGACACTGCGATCAGCCGCTTTACTGTACCCTTCCATCTGCTGCGCCTACACTGTGTACGGGCATGCGTACACACACATGCCTTCACGTCTGTGCGTTTAAGTAGGCAAAAGGGATTATTTTTGATCCTGCCCTCAGTGTGATAGGGAAAGTATGCAATAGCGTCTATGTAATAGTGACGTATGTAACCCTCAACAGCTGCAGCACACACACACACACACACACACACACACACACACACACACACACACACACACACACACACACACACACACACACACACACACACACACACACACACACACACCGTTTCAAGAATCCTCTACAGGGTTATAATCCAAATGACATTAAATATGCAAGAAATGACAAGCACAATGCTTCTTCACACTTAAGGTGACATTTATGTGCTGTTTTTTAAGCAGCTGCCGACGACTGATGCATTCAGGTTTATGATAATGAGATCTGCGATTTGTGACAGGAAGACAAAACGGCGAGGAACACAACCGTTGCCGAGTAAGAGATATCACCATTGGGAGTATGTGCAGCTACATCTCTTTCACTCTCTCCTTTTCCCCTTGTTTCTCTCACTCTCTCCTGTCCTTAAGAGATCTTTCTCCCCTGTTGTAAAAGCTTCTCCCTCTCTCTCTCCATAACTCTCCTGTTCTGCCACTCTTGTGTTCCTCTGAAGTAGTGGAAAGAGGGAGGGAGAGATGCAGATAGTGGGAGGGGGAGGCATGGAGACAGAAAGAGGGAGGGAGAGTATGTGGGGGAGGGTAGCACTGCAATCTCTGGCAGAGATAGCTGTGACGCACTATTACACACATACAGGCACCTACACACACAAAGTGCTGTGGCATTCAGAGGTCCGGGGTTGGTGGGGGGAGATAATGTAGCCCAGGAGTAGAGCATTTGCCTGGGCCACAAAGAGAGAATCCTGCCCCTACTTTAAAATAAATCCGGATGTGGAGAACATGAAGGAAGCGGCAGTGAAGACGTTTTGATTTGGTGTGTGTGTGAGCAGAAAGATAGTCATATCAGGAGAGACATGGGGATTAAGAAACGGCTGTGTGCAAACCGATTTCAGAAACAAACACACTCACAAAGTGTTTCCTGTCCCCTGCCTGTAACTACGGGTGGAGACGGGTAGAAGCAGGAAGGAAGTCCAATCTGAACTTCCTCCCGCAGTCGGACCCACCCCAACGACACAGCATGGCACGTTATCTTTCTGCCTCACAACCACACACACCCACACTCCAGGTTTCTTACCGATAGTGCGGCGTAGCTCCTCACACTGGCTGATGTGGGGGAGTTTCAGCATCTCTTTCCATTTCTTGCTGCGACCATTCCTCTTCCCTCCTCCACCTAAGACACACAAAAAGACATACAAATCAGCACATCAATCAAGTCACTTTTTCGACATTGCACTTTGAGTCTTTAACCAGATCCGATGATTGAATTTCGACCCAAGAACAAAGGGCATCCATCCGTGTGTGTGTGTGTGTGTGTGTGTGTGTGTGTGTGTGTGTGTGTGTGTGTGTGTGTGTGTGTGTGTGTTGACCTTGCAGCGACCAGAGGCAAGGACAGCTGGTTCATCTCACCAGTCGCCTCTATGCAGCATGACGGAGCATGTGGTGAAGAATGTTCGACAGCTCCAAAGATCATGGGGCACGCACACATTTAGTCTCAAAGACAGGTTTACATCAAAGAGCTTCATCTTGAAAAAGTAAGCAAGATTATGAGTCGCCTTAGCAATCTAAAGACTGCAGACCTCAGAGAATCTGCACTGATAAAAAACACAGGACCCAACATGTTAAATAAAAACAAAAACTTTCCCAGAGAACCTGAACAGCAGCTTTTATCAGTCCAATCTTTATATCTGGTGAGAAAGCCTTTGCATGCACTCACAGCCCCTAGCTGAAAGATTGTAGCAGAGCAACTCAGAACACAGTGCAATGATTTACTGCATCAACATCATTTGGATTCAGACCCAAACAAACATTCTATGGAGACTGCAAACTGCCATGTAATTGAAAGAATAAAAAGGTGTTTTGGATAAAGGCCAAGCAACAAGAGCTGTATTATTAGACTTTAAAAAAGACTTCAATACTGGTAACAACAGCATGATGTTATCAAAACTGAACAAATTCCAATGATCTAAACATGCCGAACAATGGTTTGACTTGTTGAATGGTACTAGGTGAAATGTTCAAGGTTTAAGATTTAATGGAAGAAAAACTATCCATCCAAAAGCATTGGGGATACCCCAGGGCTCAGTTCTTGGGCCATTGTTATTTAGCATGTATATCAAAGCACACATAAGTATACAAGTATACACCGGGATACAAATCAAAGTATCTCGGTGTTAGCAGCCAAACCCATGCAGATGAAACCGTCATTCATATATCTGCCAGAACAACTAGCAAGGCCGCTGACCAGCTTAATGAATCCTTTCTTTCTGTAACGCAATAAGTTGAGTCCTTCTATCTGAAAAATAGAAGGTTTAAATATTGTTATCTGATGACGTTCACAATGTCACATTGTCATACTTCGTATTGAATCACTTCCTTGTCAAAAGCCTGACTATCAACCATAAAAGCCATCTTCTCACTGTATAACCATGGAATAAAAAAGCTTGACAAAAAACAGGGAGGTGACACGATTGGGACAAATACAATATGTCCAGCTTTACAAAACCAGAAGATGTTAAAACAGACAAGATGAAAGCTTAAATTGAATATTGATTAATGGTTTGTAGATAATATATAATTTGGTAGTTTTACCGTTAAAAAATATATATATATAATGGTTTTCATACTGCTTTCCTTTTCCATCAATTTAATCTAATTTTCTGCACTATTGACAATAGGCATGGAAACAACAAGAACAATCATTTTCTTTCTGATGTTATAATAAGTACCAACAAATTATACCAAAACAACTTTTTATAACACCATATGTTTTAGCCAGTTTGTTTTGTAAAAAATAAGGAAAACAAATATTTATATGAATAATAATAATAATAATAATAATATTCATAATTAACTGTACGGAAGACGCCAATGAGACACAGTCCTAAAATGTTAAATTCTTTAATGGTTATCAACTACATTTTGACCTTCCTAAAAGGCCTATTTTGTGTTTAATGTGTACTATGGAAACTATTTATTTATTATTTTGAAAAAATCACACAGAATGACATAAATCCAGGTAATCACAGCCTTGAGAAAAACAAAAAACTTGAAAAATGACATGTTCTAAATGTTTATATAAAACAGCTTACAGAAACCAAATACTTCACTGGAATTGTGAATCACCTTTGCAAAAACGTTGCCTGGATTTAAAGTGCAGTTTAGAGTTGGCAAAACTATGATTTAACATAGTAAAACTTAAGAATGCATAACAGACTTGTGTGATCTTATAGCTTCAACAGTGATGCATTTTTCAAATTAATAGGTTAAGTAGAATACTAAGCAATCAAAAGAACATAATACTATTTTAACACTTTTCAACAATGAGTTCAACATAAATTAGGGCAGCTCAATTAATCGTATTTTAATCACAATTACGATTTTGGCTTGCAACGATTACGAAAACAACGTAATCGAAATAAAACGATTATTTTTTTATTATTATCATTATTTATTTTCTTTCTTGGTTTTTCCATTGAATTTACTTAAAGTTCAGGCTAATTAACTGTTAAAAACATACAGTTCAATTTTTTTTTTTAAATAAATGGATGTTTTCAAAGTAAATGGATAATCGTTTTTAATAATCGTGATATCAATTATTGACCAACATAATCGAGATTATGATTTTTCTCAGAATCGAGCAGCCCTAACATAAATCAAGGCATCTCTTACTTCTATAATTTGAAGAATAAAAAGGCAGTCAACGTTTTCAGCATTTTTTTAGTTGGTAGACAAAGAAAAGTCAGATTAGAGACTCGTATCTGATTTCAGATATTTACAGATTTAAACTCTGAACTATCTTCCAGCCCACATTTCTGATTCTTCTCACCAATTGATATACATGTTTTAAAAACACTGAACAAACAAAGAAGCCCCGAGCTTGAGTAAACCGTGTCAACTGTGACGGTTTGAGGATGACTGAGAGGGAAATCCTCTGCGCCAAAGTTCACCAGACACCAGCTGGTCCGGCAGAGACATGCGACAGCTTCAACGCAAATACATACAGGGGCCACGGTGGTCAAACGCGAGCAAAACAACACCTTAGTCTTGTACTACGTTCACAGGGGAAAAAGCGTACTACAATCATGCAAACAAGCCGGATATCAGCTCTAAACTGTCATTAGTCAAATTATTATTATTTTTTTAACTGCGTCACTCGTCAATGTTTTACTAACAAAGCTTTTAAGATCCCACTGGTCTCAGGTTGTAGATGTGGATAGGCATGTTGACAGACAAGTTGTGGGGCTGCAGGGCATACACACACACGCTCACAGAACACTTAGATATAGACGTACGGGCACATGCAAACATTTCCGTTGCAGCATAAGGAAGGACGGCAAAGATAAATGTTGAAATGAAGATGATAGCCAGTTGAAACCGGCTGGTTACAGTGCAGGAGAAATCCTTGCGAACGTTTGAGCCTAAAACACAGGATAACTGATGATAACAGTCGAACCAACTCAAGTTATCAGAGACTAACTTCTACCAGGTGATGTATTTTCAAGTGTTGAGACAAGTAGTGGCAAAACAAGTGACTCATATGATTTACTAAAGGACATAAGCGTGAGAAATGTCACCTCAACTTGGGGTCAGAAGGGAAAAAAATATGGGAAGGAAAGCTATAAAAACAAGACAAAATACAAAGAAAGAAAGACAGGGATTTAATAGCCAGCTGAGTAGGAGTGTGTGTTTGTGTGCACGCTGGTGCGTGTGCCTGTCGGAGCTGGCTGGGCCACCCCACCCTGTTTAATGTCACTCTGACGTCAAAGCCATGTGTGCAGGCCCTTAATGCAGACAGGATGGAGCGAGTATTTATTTAACTTTGGTTCTCCCCTCCAAGAGAACGGGGCCCTCCATAAACACGACTTCAGAGCCGCTTCACTCATTCATGGCCGAGCTGCAGCCAGCGCTGAGATCACCACCCTGGATCTCGGGCACAGGTCTGCGCATGTGCGAGGTTTAAAAAGTCGGGACATGTCGAGAAAGATGTCAAACCCATCAGACGTGCCTCACAACTAGGATGCACATTCCTTTCCGTTGAAGATTTGTAGAGGAGGGTTATCTTGGTTGAGCAGCAGTCCAAAACGTGTAACTGACCTCACATCATCCCTCTCCATGTTCACACATATTTCCTTTCACTCTCTACTGTCAACTATCCAACAAAAGCTATACAAAAATGCAGTAAACTTCGACCACAGATTAATTGATGACGCAACTCAGCTTGTTTAACCAGAGTTCTATTCTGTTAATAAAACCCAACAGGCTGTTATTGCTTGTGGCATTCATGCATATGAGCGTCAGTTCCTTTAGCCTGAGGTGGACTTTGGTGCGTTTCCTCCATTTCCAAGTCTGGTTCTATGTATATATACATAGGATGAGAGTATGGGAAGCTGAGCTTTTCTTTGTGTGAGTCTGGAGTACAGGCCAAATACAGGCTAACAGCATCCCAAATGTGCTCCTTTCACCGTCCTCCCTTTCCTCTCTTTCATCTCAAGTGGGACAAGGAACAGACTGGAGGTCACATAGTAGACGCAGGGTATATGCAGGAATCCTGAAGTCAAATGTAATCCCTTTTAAGACCTTTTTTAAGACCCTTTCCATACATTTTAAGACCTCATCGCCACTTTGAGTTTTAACCAGTTACATTGGCGACACACTTTACCTCACATTGACTATATACAGTATTGATTGTCCTTCTTCCTTATCTTCCAACCATTTGGACGCAAACTTGCATTTCCCCATAACGATGTTGTTTAACAACCGGCGTAGTAGGAGAATAGGGGTAGAATACAACCTCTTTGGACAATTGATATACTTATTGAAAACAAGCTACTAAATTGATTGAT